GGGTGTTTCTCCTACTTTTCACGTTTTATCCGTGGTGATCGTCCATTGGTGAATTCAATATTCGTTCGAAGACTCCTTGCACATATTTAGATTAGAAAAAAGTCGTATTTTCCTATGATAATTTTTATTGCTATTGGTGCAGCTGTGTTTATTGAATATTTGTTGGAAAATTTTTATTATTATAGATGCAGCTATGTTTGTTGGGTATTTCGTTAGAAAATTTTATATTATCTTGAGGAAACCGGCATGGTTTCATCACCGATCTTTTACGTTGGTCTGTTTACTGAGCGATTCGTTTATCTCACCAAGCGACGATCATTGCCGACACTTCGCGGAAGGACGGAATCGTGGAATCGCCAGGACGTAACAACATCAATGCATTTTTCAACTCTTGTGTGAACAGGTATCTACAATGTTATCAGCACAACAGTCAACAGACGTATAAGAGTAAATCCCCATGCAGACGGAAAAGCGGAACGGGACAGTAACGGAATCATTGTTATGATAATGAAATTTTGTTTATGGGGTTGGTTGAAGGTTGAAGTGTACACAAGAAAAGTGAATACACGAGACGTACATTCAAGTCGCTCTATCTCGGAAACCGTGGGGAATAGGACATATATTCATATGAACATTTTTCTTAAAATGATCGATACGATCACCTCCCAGAATATTGACCTTTCCTCCTGGAACATCCTGTATAATGCATCTGGGCTATGCAGTGGAGAGAACTCATTGTTGCTGTCTAATGATGTGTCTGAAGAAGAAAATGGAGAGGTTAAATGTGTTAGTATTGATTCATCTGCAGTATTTTCAATAACATGAAAAGAAATGCACAAATCTGAATGTTCAACTATACTTGTTTCCTCTGCAGATATAATAGTACGTGGTTTAGGTAGGTTACATATGTTTATCTCAGAAGCAGGAATATCAATGTTATGTGAACGGAATGTAAAGTCAGGACGGGAGTATAATACAGAAGGTCTTGAGGAACTGCGAGAAACTTCCACTGCTGGTGTGAACCGAGTCTTTAATATGTTTTTAGATGATTTGTTTATCGTATCACACTCGTTGCATGTGGATCCAATATGATTCCTTGATACACACACATTTGAGGAACCTACAATTTAAATTATATTTAAAACAATAACCCACAAAATTTTCAAAATTAATAAAATTATTAGCTGCTTACTAACTAAACTCACCTAATTTTTTTGTTGATACACTGGTTCTGATCGGACTTGATTCTTTAGTAGTCAAATGCGATATATTTGTTATAGATCTGAATAAAATAACAAATCATTTCAACATAATATATTTTACAAACTTTTTGTTTACAAATGTAACATAAATAAGAGTCTCTGGTAAAAGAAACTTGCTTTCTACTCTTGACATGTTTAAATAAAAAACTCATCTGCTCATATAAGGGAAATTGTGATCCTGTTATATGTCCACTACCACTTCTGGTTTCTCTTTCTTGTAATTTTTTCTCACGAGAATATTGTTCGCGTAGTCTCGCCCATCTTGTCTGACAATCCGCAGCTGAAAGATATATAATAAAATAAAAATCTATTTTACACGCACATACACACACATTACAACTATATTTATACATAAGAAATATATTATAATTATTAAAAGATATGAAAACAGTCACACATATATGAATGTAATATTGGTATAAAAGAAGAATGTATCCTGTACCCGTCGCGTTTAAGATTTCTCCTATTTCTTCTCATGAATTATTTCTTTTTTTTATATCTTTAAAATCTCTTGATTGTTTATCATACAGATGTGGGTAACCTTTCACAAGATCCAACAACAGAGAATCTTCCTCTCTTGAAGTTTTATTGTTAAACATATTGCTTTCATCTTCATCTTCACTTTTTTTCGTAAAATAATTTTCATGATCGTCCATATTTTTATTTACGATGCTCGGCAATAAACAATAATATTACGAACAACACAACGTTCTATGTCAATTCGTGTGTGATGGCCTTAAGTGTTGGGTTCTTAACTCGAAGGAATGCTTATCTAACAATAAGTTAAGTTTAGCGTAATCTATAATAAAAGCAGGGTCCGCGGACACCTGAGCCAAGAGTTACTGGATCTTTTTGTTCTCACGATTCTGGATATGTTTCGCTCAACATTTCGAGCGTTTAGCCGGGTTGTTTTCAATGCGAAACACACGCAAGGGTTAAATGAGGTATTGACAGTTAATTTAAAGAAACAGTTTGGTAATAAAAAAAAGAATAGAGAAAACATTTAAAGATCTCAATAATATTTATTGTTAATATATCAGGTGATTGCATAAGTTCGTGAATTTTCTGAAAGTTACAGCGTGTACAGACATTTCCTCAAAAATTCAAAATTTTATAAAAAATGGACCCTTTCACCGATACTCACCAAATTCAGTAGCAACTATCCTTTAATAATACTCTATTCATGAAAAAAATTTAATCCGATATCTCAAATTTTCCGAAAGTTACAGCGTGTACAGACATTTCTCAAAAAATTCAAAATTTTATAAAAAATAAAACCTTTCATCGATACTTACCAAATTCAGTTGCAACCATCCTTTAATAATACTTTATCCATGTAAAAAAAATTTAATCCGATATCTCAAATTTTCCGAAAGTTACAGCGTGTACAGACATTTCTCAAAAAATTCAAAATTTTATAAAAAATAAAACCTTTCATCGATACTTACCAAATTCAGTTGCAACCATCCTTTAATAATACTTTATCCATGTAAAAAAAATTTAATCCGATATCTCAAAAATTGCGGATGCTAGAAGTTGTACAATATATTGCGTACATACATCATACATACATACACACATACACACATACATACATACATACATACATACATACATACATACATACATACATACAGACATTTTTTAGGAATATGTTTTCTCGACGTTTTGGAACATTCTAAACACATTGGCATAGAAAACTCGAAAAAAAATTCTGTCACGAAAACAAAGCTTCCTCTATGAGGAAGCAAAAGACAAGAGAAGAAAAGAAAATTTTTAATGGACTCATTACTTGTTGTATGCGAAGAAGACGATTTTAATTTTTAACAGTTGAGTGAGAAGCGACCCTCTATCTTCCGTGGAAAGCTGGTTGGAAAGGTGGCTCAGAGATTCGCTCGGTGACTTAGTTATTTGGTTGATAACAGTTCACTTATCATTTAAAGGCCACTGGGTTCTTTCACGTTGTCGTAAAACTCGCTCTCTGCACAACTTTAATCGCGAATAACGAGAGAAAAAAAATGATGGATCGAAAACTATAGTTGACTGTTAGGTTGAAAGTAGAGTACTGAATCGGTCAGAAGCTGAAGACAGAATGAATCTTTGAGAGAGGATTTCGCGTATCCTCGAATCTTAGCGTCTCCTCACGTATCTTCTCCATTAGACGACCAGAAGGTCTAGAAGATTACGTCTATTGGTGTAGGCTTTTGTTTTTAGAGTCATTAGGGGTGCCTATGTTACCATCGCCTCGGAAGGAAAAGGGTATGAGTACTAAATGTTGGGTCCACTTGTTGAGAAAGAAAGGCTTAATTCCACCCTTCGTCCAAGTATTCTCTGGGAGTTTATAAAAACAAATAATTGTTTTAAAAAATACATTGTAAATAATTATATACTTTTTCTTAAAAATAATTATTTTTTTGTATGCCTTTTCTTTTAGGACGTTTTGTATTACGCGGGCCGATGCGACAGGACACTCTCGTCTGAGTTACCAGCGCGAACGTTTCTGACTTTCTGACTGTTTAGTGCGTGAGAATAATTGAATTATCAAAAATGTCGATAATATTTCAATATAAACGGGTATGTAGTATTCAGTGTTTTCGTAATATATTGTGTGATTTATGATATTTATTAATCGTGGTGGTTCGTCGAACCGTTACAATTACGAGCGGATTACCTGGTAGACACGCGAGCGAGTTCCCACGCGCGGAGCACGTGAAGCTCGCGCGCGGAGCACATGAAACTCGCGTGCGGGCACCGTTTGAGCCACGAAGGCCCACCGCGAGGCGGCCGCGGCCGGGAGTCGGCGCCAGTGAGCGAAATTCAGTGAGTGGGGTTTATAAGTCGGCGCGCGGCGAGAAGACTTCGATTCGCGGCCCGCTCTGAGTCAGGGAAGGATCTCCTGCCCATCAGTCAGACCGAGCTCGACGGATCTTTTTGGAATAGCTACAGCCTACGCTGCCTCCAACTACGCCAGGGGACCAAAGTCTTCCTCGACCGCAGCTGCCTCCCACATCACCCGGGACTAGTCGGCAGCCCTCCATCGAAGTAGAGAAGACACCTGGATCTACGAGTGACAGTACCTGCATTGACTTCAGAAAGTGGGAGCTCCACCGGATAGACCTGGCGCCAGTGCAATATACCAGACCTCCACGCTTCTTCCTGAGCCTATGGGATATCAGGGTACGGCGCTACACCTCACCGTCAACACCGTAGAACCTACCGCCGCTGTTATCACCCTTAGCGGCCTCGCCACTCCGACGACGAGATTACGGGACACAATCACTGCCAGCTGTGCAAGTGCATCGGGGTACGCAGTATCAACCCCAGGCGCTGAGTGAATGCTCGGCCCCGTCAGGCAGTGATTGGGAGACCAGTACACGCAACACGGCCACGCAGACGGAGGAAGTCAGCTATACGCCTCCAGGGACTCCTCCCGCACTTCGACACGCACCAGCACCCGTGCTACCGAATATCGGGTCCCTCAGAGTCACTACCACCGAGCCTCGTATCACTTGGCAGAAATGCCATCAGCGTTAGCCCAGAAAGGGCCCTTTTAGGGCCACTAAAAAGAATACTTATACCATTGTACATAGACTGTAAATATATTTTCTTGTGACACCTAGAAAAGAAGTCTCGTGATTGACTTCACCTCATTACGCTCTACCCCTTCCTTGCGTCATTTTCCGAAAGCGGACGCACCGCTTACATACAACTCACAACTGGTGACCACCGACGCGGAAGATGCCAAGGGACACGGAGAAGACAATCATCGTCGACGACGACAGCACGAGCGTCAACAAAATAGGCATAAGAATACCACCATTTTGGCCGGAGGATGCAGAGCTATGGTTCGCGCAGCTGGAGGGAACATTCACCTCGTGCGACATAGAAGACGACGCAACGAAGTACGCATACGTCCTGTCCAGGATAGAGCCAAAACAAGCCAGGGAAATAAAAGACATCACGCAGCCGCCACCGAGACAAAAATACGAAGCGATAAGGAAGATGCTGATACAGAGACTCACGGCATCACAGGACCAAAGAATTAAACAACTTCTAGAACACGAAAAGCTGCGAGACAGAAAGCCCTCGCAGTTTCTCCGACACCTCAAAACCTTGGCCGGCATAACAGTCTCTGACGAGCTACTGCGCACATTATCGCTAGGCCAATTACCAATGCAAATGCAGGCCATTCTAGCAATGCGCGCACAGGATAAATTAGAAGACGTCGCAGAACAGGCCGACAGAATCCACGAAATAGGGAGTAGATCACTAGAGGTAGCAACTACGCAAGTGGCAGTCACGCCAACACGAATCCCATAGGGAACAGATGGATGCATTGAGAGACCAAGTCGCCGCCCTGACAACACAGGTCACAAAAATGACCAAAAGGTTCCAAAGGGAACAGCAGGGGAGACGCCCACGAAGCCAATCGAGAGAGCGACAACGTAGCAAAACACCAAGAAGAGAAAGCATTTGCTACTACCATCGACGCTTCGGAGCAGAAGCTAGGAAATGCACTACCCCATGCACGTACAAAAAGGAAAACGAGGAAGCGAGTCGCTAATGGCGGTAAGCGATATCGGCTCAGAACCACGCCGCCTATACATGACAGACCGGAAGACGAAAACAAGGTACTTAATCGATACTGGATCTGACATAAGCGTCTACCCACGCGCAAGGACACAGGGCCGGAAAAAGGCAGAAACGTATCAGTTATTTGCTGCAAATGGATCAACGATATCCATCTACGGAGCGACAACCGTACAACCAGACTTCAGGCTACGGAGAGCATTCCCATGGCGATTCATAATCGCCGACGTCACACAGCCAATAATAGGCTCAGACTTCTTATCGCACTATCATCTCCTACCGGATATAAGGAATAAGAAGCTAATTGACGGAAAAACAGGTCTCTCGACACACGGGTCGCAAAGCAACCATAAAATAAACTCAATTAAATCAGTAGTCGGAGAAACGAAATATCACAGCATATTAGCAGAGTACCCAGGAGTAACACGACCAAACGGAGGGAACCAATCAGTCAAACACAACACAGTTCACTACATACAAACCACCGCAGGATAACCGGAAGCATGCAGACCAAGAAGACTATCTCCAGAGAAACTACACATCGCAAGGATGGAATTCGATCTACTACTACAGGAAGGGATAATTCAGCCATCAAAACTCATGGTCAGCACCACTTCATATGGTGCCCAAGGGAGAAAAAAGCATGGCGACCGTGCGGAGACTTATAGAAGGCTAAACACACGCACAATACAAGACAACTATCCGATACCACACATAGAGGACTTCGCACAAACGCTGCACAGGAAGAAAATTTTCACAACGCTCGACCTAGTGAAAGCCTACAATCAAATCCCGGTACACGAAGAGGACATACCGAAGACAGCAATCACCACGCCATTCGGGTTATACGAATTTAAATTCATGCCGTTCGGACTTCGAAACGCAGCACAAACCTTTGAAAAATTTATTAATGAAATACTGAGGGGACTAGACTATGCATATATAGATGACATATTGGTAGCATCAGAAACAGAAGAAGAACACGAAAAACACATGAGGGAACTTTCCACCCGACTAGAAACCAACGGGGCGAGAATTAACCCAGCCAAGTGCACCTTCGCAGCCGCACAGGTTAAATTCTTGGACTACCTAGTCTCAGCAGAAGGTACAAGACCACTACTGGAGAAGGTGGAAGCAATCAAAAACTTCCCTTCTCCAAAGACGGTCAAACACATGCGACAATTTCTGGGAACCATCAACTTCTACATACGTTTCATCCCAGGAGCAGCAAAGGACCAGGCAATTCTGAGCGAGGTATTGAGAGGACCAAAGAAGAGAGGACAACAACCAATCCAATGGACCGGAAAAATGGAAGAAGCGTTTGACAACTGCAAAAACAGCCTAGCAAGAGCAGCTAGCACTCCTGGCACATCCGGATCCAACAGCAAAGCTGACAGTGACAACGGACGCCTCGGACGCAGCGCTAGGAGCAGTCATACACCAGAAAGCTAAAGGGGAATGGCAACCACTAGCATTCCTAAGCAAAAAAGTCAGCAAACCACAAACGAAATACAGTCCATACGATCGAGAGCTACTGGCGATATACACAGCGATCAAGCACTTCCGCCATATGTTGGGAGACGGTTCACTGTATACACGGACAACAAACCAATTACTTATGCATTTGACCAAGATCCGCTAAGAAGCTCACCACGCCAAGCACGACACTTAGAGTACATCGGCCAATTCACAACAGACATCCGCCATATAGCAGGGAAAGAAAATGTAGTAGCCGATACCCTCTCCAGAGTAGAAGCAATACAAGTGGCAGTCAAGTTCGAAGAATTAGCACAATCACAACTACAAGACCCAGAAATGCAAGAGATGATGAGTACGAAACAAAGCCTGCAGCTCACGAAAGTCGCAATACCAGGAACAACGACAACACTATACTGCGATACATCGACACCGATAACACGACCATACGTGACACTACCATTCAGAAGGAGAATATTCAACTCCTTACACAGCCTAGCTCACCCAGGAGCAAAGGCGTCAGCAAAACTGATATCGCAAAGATATGTATGGCCGAAAGTACAGCAGAACTGCAGCAGATGGGCAAAAATATGCGTCCAATGCCAAAGAGCGAAAATCATTCGACACAACGCAGCACCAATAAGAGAGTTCGACCAATCAACAAAACGTTTCCAGCACATACACATGGACATAGTCGGACCACTGCCAACATCCAATGAAAAACGCTATTGCCTCACCATAATAGACCGGTTTACAAGATGACCAGAGGCGATTCCACTCACGGACATCACGGCAGAAACCGTAGCAAAACACTTGTTCACAAACTGGATCGCGCGATTCGGAACTCCAGAAAGAATCACGACCGACCAAGGAAGACAATTCGAAGCAGACGCCTAACGCAAATGACAGGCTCAAAACACATAAGGACAACAGCATACCACCCGGCAGCTAACAGGATGATAGAGCGTTTCCATAGGCAATTGAAAGCAACCATCAAGTGCCATCAAACAGAAGACTGGACAGAAATTCTCCCAGTCATACTGATGGGCACCAGGGCCGCCTGGAAAGAAGACATAAACGCAACAACAGCAGAATTGGTCTATGGAGAACCAATAAGGTTACCTGGACAATTCTTTTCAGAAAAAGGCAACGACGCGGAAGACAAAACCAACCTCGTGAACAAACTACAAAACATCATGAGCAAACTCAGCCCCGCCATCAAAAGACATGGACAACGAGCAGCGTTTATCTACAAAGATATGGACAAAACAGCAAAAGTCTTCGTGCGACACCATCAGGAGCTCTACAACCGTCATACGACGGGCCATACGAGGTGCCGAACAGAAACGAAAAAACATACACAATACGGATGAACAACAAAAAAGTCAACGTATCAATAGACAGGCTTCAACCAGCCTACACCATGGAAGAAGAAGAGATACCACAAGCCACCAACCAGGAACCAACAATACGGCCAGCCAAGACAAGAAGCGGACGAATAATTAGCCCGCCAATCAGGTTCAAACTTAGGAGACTGCCATTAGCAAAACACTTGTTCACAAACTGGATCGCGCGATTCGGAACTCCAGAAAGAATCACGACCGACCAAGGAAGACAATTCGAAGCAGACGCCTAACGCAAATGACAGGCTCAAAACACATAAGGACAACAGCATACCACCCGGCAGCTAACAGGATGATAGAGCGTTTCCATAGGCAATTGAAAGCAACCATCAAGTGCCATCAAACAGAAGACTGGACAGAAATTCTCCCAGTCATACTGATGGGCACCAGGGCCGCCTGGAAAGAAGACATAAACGCAACAACAGCAGAATTGGTCTATGGAAAACCAATAAGGTTACCTGGACAATTCTTTTCAGAAAAAGGCAACGACGCGGAAGACAAAACCAACCTCGTGAACAAACTACAAAACATCATGAGCAAACTCAGCCCCGCCATCAAAAGACATGGACAACGAGCAGCGTTTATCTACAAAGATATGGACAAAACAGCAAAAGTCTTCGTGCGACACCATCAGGAGCTCTACAACCGTCATACGACGGGCCATACGAGGTGCCGAACAGAAACGAAAAAACATACACAATACGGATGAACAACAAAAAAGTCAACGTATCAATAGACAGGCTTCAACCAGCCTACACCATGGAAGAAGAAGAGATACCACAAGCCACCAACCAGGAACCAACAATACGGCCAGCCAAGACAAGAAGCGGACGAATAATTAGCCCGCCAATCAGGTTCAAACTTAGGAGACTGCCATACAACCAAGGGGTCCTGTGGTGGTTCGACGAACCACCACAATTACGTGCGGACTACCCGGTAAAAACGCGAGCGAGTTCCCACGCGCGGACTACCCGGTAAAAACGCGAGCGAGTTCCCACGCGCGGAGCACGTGAAGCTCGCGCGCGGAGCACATGAAACTCGCGTGCGGGCACCGTTTGAGCCACGAAGGCCCACCGCGAGGCGGCCGCGGCCGGGAGTCGGCGCCAGTGAGCGAAATTCAGTGAGTGGGGTTTATAAGTCGGCGCGCGGCGGGAAGACTTCGATTCGCGGCCCGCTCTGAATTAGCGAAGGACCTCCTGCCCAACAGTCAGATCGAGCTCGACGGATCTTTTTGGAATAGCTACAGCCTACGCTGCCTCCAACCACACCAAGGGACCAAAGTCTTCTTCGACCGCAGGGCCCTTTTAGGGCCACCAAAAAGAATACTTATACCATTGTACATAGACTGTAAGTATATTTTCTTGTGACATCTAGAAAAGAAGTCTCGTGATTGACATCACCTCATTACGCTCTACCCCTTCCTTGCGTCATCTTCCAAAAGCGGACGCGCCGCTTACATACAACCCACATTAATTAAATATTATATTTCAGTTCGTGATTATCGACATTATACATAGACAATATATGCGATGGCTGCATGGAAATCTCCGCTGGGCGCACGCAAACTTATGGGGCGATACACGGGAGGCCCACAAATGGGCGAAAATATTTCCGCATGACGACATATTTTACTTGTGGCCTTTTTTGGGCTTGAGCCCTATGATGAGGAGGCAAATTGGGAGCCTGAAGAGGCGTGGGAGGAGGAAGAACTGGCGGCACCAGGAGGGTAATGTAAGTATTCCTTTTTAAAATTTTATAATACATTAAAACCAGATTAATATTCTAATAAGACTTGTATTTTTTTCATGTTTCAGATGGAGCGCGCAGCAAATTTCATATTATTTTTATTTT